GTCTATAACATAGAGAAAGGTTCATGAAATAATGCTAAGTCAAAAGCAGGGCACACCATGTTATACACCAAATAAAATGAAAAAAACTGTATCTACACACAGAGAACACTAATTATTATAGTTGTTGAGGAAGAAGACTGGGTGGCTTTTTATGTCCACTTTAAAAATAGAAAAAACTTTCTAAATTTACGATTTTTTAAAGGTAGAATGATTATTTTTTTAGATAAATAAATCAAATCAGTTCAACATTCTCTGGCTGCCTCCAGTCATAGAAGAGTCTGTAATCACATGCACTCTGCATTAACCTTCAAAAGAAGCAACTGCTGCCTCTCAACTTTAGATGTTTTATTAACCTTTTTCCCGTTTAGAAAAAAAAAGTGCAGCTCAGATAGGAATGCTAGGTTTTCTAGGATTTGACATTTTCAGTGATGCGACTACTAAAAAGAGAATGCTATAATAGAGTGACGACATTTGTTTCCAAAAATTATTGATATACTAGAGTGATGCGAAAATAATAATAAAAGCAAGACATTTCATGGCAAACTTTGGGGGTAAGGTTAGGACTGTAATCCACGAGTTATCTTGGGGAAAACAGAAAAAGGGTTCCATTACAAACTAGTCTATTATATAACAGTCAGTCTACGGGCCAGTTGGGTTTCTCTGTAGATTTTACCAACTTGAATAGGCATTTGGAAAATCTAAAGCGCCTTATATTTACCTAATAAAATTCCCTCAAAAAGCATTTCTCTGCACCATGGATTTGGTTACATCGGAGGTATAATTACATCTTCTAAGGCAGAGCAACAAAAGTGGTATCAAGAGAAGCAATCAAGAAAAAAGTATGTAGACTCTGGACCGTCAGCCTGGGTTCCAGTTTTCACTCTACCACTTGTTAGCTGTGTGACCTTGGAAAAGATACTTAACCTCTCTATGCTCCCGTTTGTTTATTTGTTTTTTATTTGTAGAATAACAATTCACAAAGGGTTGTTTTGAGGCTTACGTGAGATAGAATTTAGAAAGTGCTTAGAAGAGTGCCTGGTATGTAGTAAATGCCCAATAAATGTTAATTTTCATTACTTATTATGATTTCTGTCATTTTAGCACAGTGTATCTGTTCTCCAACCCAAGTCAGCACTAATCATTTTCATAGTATTATAACCAGAATGGACAAGAGATGGCACGCTCCAGATTATATTATTGATCAATAACTACATTAGTTACACTTAAAATATAAATCCAAACACAGAATTGTAATTCTGTGACAATTTGTACAACTTAGCAAGCATAAACATTTAGTAATTTCTGTTGATTCCTAAGGACTTCTGAGCATAAAACCCTTTAAATTTCATTTATTCGCTCAATTTTACTTTAGAAACAGCATGTACATTCTGGAAATTAAAACCTGTCTTCGGACTTCATGAAGTTATCTCACATTTCAAAAAGCACTCTAATGTCTACTTTAATGTCATTTGTAAATTTTTAAATCCCACAAAAGTTTTACAGACATTTCTTTTTTTATAAGAAACAAAACAGCAACAACAACAAGAAACAAAAAAGAAAAAAATAGCTAACCACTAAAGTAAGGAAATTTAGATACTGAAAGATCTGTAAAGTCTCTATTAACTAAAAAAATTCGATCATTTATATAAAACCACTCATTTCCCACAGATGAAACCCTGAGCAATCTGATACCTGTTCACAGCTCCAGCCCTGGTCGGCCTTCCCCACCCAAACTCGCCACCCCTCAAAGTCCACCTCAAGTCCCTCTTCCTCCCTATCGCTCCTCTAGCATTGCCTACATGAGTCCTTATCTGCCAGTGTCCCACCATACTAGGACACCAACACCAGAGAATACCTATAATCGACTTTAGTACATAGTTAGAAATCACTGTATTTTCCTACTTGTTCCACATATGTGATAGGCAGAATTCTAAGATGGCCCTTAGGAATCCCAGCCACTGGTGTGCACATACCTTCTCTCAGTTATTCAAGCAAAAAGTAATGTGGGTACTGCTGTGAAGGGGTTTTGAAGATATATAATATAAGGTATCAAATTAGCTGACCTTAAACAAAGGAGATTTACAAGGTGGGTATACAAACCCTTTAAATCAGGGAAAGGAAAAGTCAAAGATATTTGAGGCGTGAGAGGGATTTGACATAAGAGATTCTCCATAGTTGGCTTCAAAGATAGAGGAAGCCATGTGGCAAAGAATGTGGACAGTGGCTAACTGCCAGCAAGGAGACAAGAACCTTAGTCCTGCCACTGCAAAGAATTGAATTCTGCCAACAATCTGAATGAGCCTGAAAAAAAGATTTTCATCCAGAGCCTGCAGACAAGAAACCAGCCCAGCCAAAACACCAATCTCAGCTTTGTGATACCCTGAGCAGAGAACTAAACTAGTCATGTTGTACCAGGACTTCTGACCTACAGAACAAGGAATAAATGTGTTATTTAAGTCACTAATTTGTGGTAATTTGTTACGACAACAATAGAAAATTAAAACACTAGATAAATGTCATTTTCTCCTCCTTGGAGATTTCTGGGAGGACAGGGACAAGCTGTAATCCTTTGAAATGTCTTAAGTATACTGCTGGGGACATAACAGAAATACAATATAATAAATTCTTGCTGATTGAACTGAACTGAAACAGAACAGAAAGGCTAAGCAAAAGACATAGGTAAAGGTCACCTAGGTAGATTCCAGACATCCAGACAACCCTCAGGGCAGCACTGTGCTACTGCCGCAGATGCTGTGGAGCCGGGAACTAGGTTGGAAGGCTATGTTAGAGCAGGAAAAACATCTTAAGGCTCCTTTCTGGAGACAGAGCCAAGATTTTTACTTCTTCATGGAATGCTGAGGGTGGGAGTAGGGTAACTAGTTATATACTTCATTAATTAAATGCCAGTTAGGGAGAGGACAGCAAAGATGAAAGAATTCACTATTCCAAGGAATGACCTACTCTTTCCTGCCTGAGAGTTTGTTGAAGCTGCTGAGATGAAGAGGATCCACAGGGAACCTTTCCCCTCAGCGAGAGCTCTGGGGCCGGAGATTTGTGATTTCTACCAAGTCGGTTACCGGGAATGTCCATTATCCTGAAGGCATTTGGCCACTCTCTGAAGCTTGCTGTGGTGGGAGTTGATCAGTGCTATTTTTAGGGTCAAAACAATCATTTCTCCCAATATGTAATGACTACATTCCTCAGTCTTGGCACAGTTGGATATCCACATATATTCTGGGAGAAAGTACTCACAATGCATATATATGTGGCAAAGAACTTCAATCAAGAGTATATTAACTCCTAAACATTTTTTAAAAAAATGAGCCAACTATAAAAAAATCAAGCACTTCACAAAAGATATAGGAATGGTCAATAAGCATATAAAAAAGTGATTGATATCATAAGTAATCAGTAATCAGAGAAACAAAAATTAAAACAAAAATTAGATACAACTACATAGCCATCAGAACGACTAAAATTAAAAGTGGACGATGCCAAGTATTGCTAAGGATGTAGAGCAATTGGAACTCTCTCATTTTGTTGGTGAGAATGTACACTAGCGCAACTACTTTGGGAAATACTGTTTTTACAATTTCTGAGTTAAATGTGTGTCTACTTTATAATCCACTGATTCCACTACTATCCATTTATCCAAGAGAAATGAAAGCCTATGTCTACACAGACTTGTACAGGAATGTTCAGAGCAGCTTATGTATAAAAGCCAAAAATTGTAAACAAAACTCAAATATCCATCAGTTGTGGTATGTTTACACAGTGTACCAAACATACTGATATAGGTAATAACATGAATGAACAACTCTCAAAAACATTGTTTCACAGAGAAATCCAAACAGACACAAAAGAATTTGTTCTGTATGATTCCATTTATATTCTGTTCAAAAACACAAAGCCAAGCTATGGCGAGAGATTTCAAAATAGTAGTTACCTCTGACAGGGAGGGAAGACAGTAATGCCTGGAAAGGGTCACCAGGGCCTTTTCTGGAGCTCTTAAAAATGCTCTCTATTTTGATCTGGGTGGTGGCCACGTAAGTGTATACATATGTAAAAAGTCCTTGATCTGTACTATTAAGATTTGTGCATTTTACTGTATGTAAATCATACCTCAATAAAGCATTTTTAAAAGGGGGGCGTGGAACACTATTAATTAACAATGGAAGGAATGACAGGCAGTTAACATCTCTATAACATTGTTCTGGGTGAACGATGCCACCGCATGTTCTGGAGAGGACACAGTATATAACACTCCATCTTTGCTCTCCTATTGTTTTAAAATAAAATACAGAAGCCAAGACAAACACTCATCTGACTAAGCTAGCTACTCCTCCACCGAAAATTCTTTGCTGGAATTTTGGAGCCTAGATTGTCCAGATGCCGAGAAGTCTGTACCAAGTACTGTGCTAAGGGCTTTATGACCACGAGATCATTGAATCCTTACAACAACCCCATAAGGTAATTGTAAGAAACCCACTTGGGACGAGGAAACTGAGGGTCAAAAAAGCACTTTTCTAAGGATGAGGGAAAACATCCATATCAATACATCTTGGTATTCCTCCATGTAGGACCTTAGGGAGCTCTGAACCTTACAGACACTCGGTCACTGTCTGTCGAACGGACGAAGGTGAGACACGTTAACTTCTGCTTCACTGAACCTAACTCTCAATTGCAACCTTGATGCGAAGAGACCGTCCTTCCACTAAATCAGTAATAATCTGCCCACCTCTCCTCAAGAACAGTGCAACGCGGGTGACTCTTTACTCAATTCCTACATGTCCAAACTAAAGGAGAAAATGTTTCATCTGCACTAGGGGGTCAAAGGAGAGGCCACAAGCGCGGCGCATGCACCCTGACTCGCCTGTCCTGCGTACCTACCCTCTGCGGTGCAGTCCTTCGCTCCGCCCTGCAGGGCCCGCGCATGCGCTCTCGCCCCGCCCCGCCGCTCAACCACCGCGCACGCGCAGGCTAGTCGAGCTACAGCGTACCTGTGCAAAGCTAGAGGTGGACGCTTTTTTCTTCTTACTGGCGCTGTATATCCCGGCGCTGCTGCTGTTGTGGGAAGGACTGGCTGGCCTCTTCTTGCTGTTCCGGGCTATCCCCGGAGTGGTGGTAGTGGCCACAATTGGAATTTGAGCCGCCATCCCTACCCCGAGTTTTCCTCCTTCCCCCTCCCCACTTCTTTCTCTGTGCAGGCCTGGGACTTCCGGCTCGCTGTTACTTCCGTCTTAATGCCAGAAAACCCGGCCTGGACTCTCAAAGCATTCGTTGACTTCTTTCTCTCGGCCGTATCTAAAAAGCGGAGCTCGGTGCAGCCAATTCCGTCAGGGCGGGAAGGTGTCTGAGGGACGATGTCCTCCTACTCTGGTTCTCCCGACCCGGGCACATGTTTAGAAATCCCGTGATTGAGGAATAGAACATCTCGCGATTTTTTTTTTCTTTTTTTAAGTAACTGGGCTTAAAAAGAACAACCATGTTGTTTTTTTCCCCACATTAAGTCAAAAGATGGATCACTTTTGATAACTAAGAAGAAAAGTAGGGTCATTCTCGGTGGATTAGACAGCCCCGCCATGCTGCTATCTTTCCCTGTGGTCGTTGCCTTTTGGCACCGAAGAAGTTAGTGTATCAGTAGTGCCCAAATAGCATAGAGTGGTTCTTAACCTTTTGGGGGTTTCAGGCCTCTTTGAACATGTAAGCTATGCTATCCTCCCTCTCCCACCCCAACCAAATGTATATAGGCATGGGCAAAATTTTACAGAGATTTCAGAGAGTTCACAAGTCTGCTAAAACCTATTTATGAACTTTGGTGGAACACCCCCTCCTCCTTGTTGTTTGTACATACTGCTCTGCACTTTAGAACATTTATGACCCAAACTGTGTGGGTTATAATTGGTTGGTTAGTGTCTTTTGGCTTCTGCTAGAATGAAACTCTGTGAAGGGAAGGTAGGTTATGTTTTGTTCATTTATCTTTCCCAGATCGCAGTACCTTGCAAGTCATTGGTATATTATAAATATTTTAAAGTCGTTAATGAATGAATGAACCCCCTGCAGTAATTAGTTGAAGCTACTGTGTTCTAATACAGGAAAGTGGCATATATGAATCTGGATTACTTGAAAGAAATAGGCTGCAGAGTGACTTAGAGGTAAGAGAGAACAGTTAGGGAAACTGACAATAATGTTACAACTTTTCTCCTATGCAGAACCATCCAATGGTAAAATGTTCTCTCCCATGCTCCAACCTCCACTCCTATCCTCAACTAAATCTAGGCTTCCTTATTCTTTATCTCAGTAACTACAACTCTAACCCGCTAGTCACCTAAGCCAGAAGCTAGATGTTGACCCTGGCTTTCTGGGCCCACCCTCTCTAGTAACACACCCATATCCCATTCCAGTCAGCCACCCTCTCAGCTCACTCCTTCAACACTCCTGCTCTCAATAGCCTTCCTGATGGAAGTTTGGGCCTCCATTTGTTTTCTAATCCTCCCTGACCCTAGGCCATCCTTCACACCGGCTGCCAGAATGGGCTATCTAAATCATAAATTTAGTCATGCCACTAACTTTCTTATATTGTTCAGGGCCCTTTTACTTTGGCATATAAGGTCCTTAATAACTGGCTTTGCCCCCTTCTCTTGCTTTATTCCCAGCACTTAATTTCCTCTGCTTCAGCCAGGGACTAACTTTATTTCCGAGAATGTACATTGTTCCCTTAACTCATCATGCTTTTGTTTCCATTATTTCCTCTTCTAGGAATGCTTAACTCCTTTGCCTCGGTTTAGATGCTGCTTCCAGTGAAAAGCTTTCTGCCATCTGATGCACCCTCCTTTTCCCCTATTCCCACCCTGTTCATGCCTCTCTGAGTATACACGGTGCTCTGCTGAACAGCTTCCTGTAGTCTCTCAGTAAATATTTATTGAGTTCAAATATCAATTCCCTACTTTTAAGGAATCAGATAAGTGATTAGACCACCATCGGGCTTCCCATCGCTACATTCATTCCTAACCTATCTGATCCCCTTTCTTCCTGAAATCCTTAATCCTTCTCCTGGGGTCTGGAACACCACTATTTTCCTCTCTTGTAACCATTTGTCCTCTTTTTGTCAGTCGTCTTTTACCAAATGGTTTCTAATCCTACTACAGGATTTTTTTTTTTTTTTTAAATATAGGTTATGTAGTCACATTTCCCCAGCAGATATATATTTTTTAAGTTTCCCAGATGATTTAAATGATAAGCCAGATTTGGAATCAGGCTTTTTCTGCTCAGTCGTTACACATTGAGAGCTCGTTGGTGCTTGGGCAAAAGCCCTCTGCCCTTCTCAGTCCATACTCTTTCCAACAATTTTACCAACTCTGGTAAAATTCATCATCTAAATGTAGATCACTTTCAGATTTGCATTTCTTATCTGGGTCTTTCTCCAAAGATGCATACCTAGATATAAAATTCCCCATCCAGATATAAGCTCAAATGCTTATAGGCATCTCACGTGGCATGGCAAAAACAGAATCCATCATCCCCCTTTCTTCTCTAAAACATGTTCCTCCTTCAGTGTTTCCTGTCTCAGTTAATATCATCATTATCAGTTGTTCAAACCAAAAACCTGGGAGTTATCCTCGACTCCTCCCCTTCACCCACCTCCACACCATAACTTTATTCCAGCCACCCCCATCTCTCTCTTGGACTCATACATTGCCTTATTTGTCTCCCTGCTTCCACCTTTGGTCCTTCCAAACCGGTCACACATGTAAAATTCTATATGACCTCTTTAACAATGCAAATGTACATATTCAGATCATGCCCTCTACTTGAAACACTTCAGTCGCTTCCGGTGGACCCTAGGATGAAGTCCAATGTCCATAACATGGTTTCAGAGGCCTTCAGACACCTGTCCATCTCTTCAAACTTGCCTCTTGCCCAGTCCTTTGTACTCCAGTTCAGTTTTCACTTTTGTCAGTTCCGCCAACCAGCTGTGCTCCCTCCTCTCTCAGGGCTTAACACATATTCCTTCTCCTGCGTGAAAGCTGCTTTTCTCCCAACACCACCCTGCTCTGGTCTCATTTACTTCCACTCACCCTTCCTGTTTTGGCTGACATGCTAATTTTTTAGCCTTCCCTATTCCTCTGGTTTGGTTAAAACCGATCTTTCCATGTTCCCATCATTCTCAGTCATCCAGTACATATTGATTATCTGCTCTACGCCAAGTCCCAAGGACAGAGACAAGGTCAAATAAAACAGAATAGTCCCTGCTCTCAGGGAGCCCCCAGTCCAGCAGCGGAAGAGAGATGTTAGATTTATCTTCTCAGCTGAACATAAACTTCCTGCGGGCAGTTGCCAGAGTCATCAAGGATCAAGTGGCAGAGCACGAATAGATGATGGCAACAAGGAGAGAGAGAAATGCAGGACATCCAGTCAAAGGAGCAAAGTCTTTGGCCTTGGGAGAAACCTATTCCATGTCCACTTTGGCAGCACCAGTCACTACACAGTGCTGGCACACGTGTGTAACTCACATGTTCTCATATCTATCGGTGAAGATAAATTAACAGTAATAATCCATATTCTGCTAGCTTCTGTGTTGAGGTGGGGCCTAAGCCTTCCCTAAGTCCCCATCTCAATTATTCCTGAGACTTGTGAGGCATGTCTCACCTCGGCTGTAGTGTGAGCCCTCTCATGTGCTTCCTCTCTGGCCTTCTTTCTGGTACTGTGTCCCTCACCAATGCCACACGTCCTTTGACCAAAGCTGCTGGGGCCCCCACTGGAATGCTGATGCCCTCACTGGGGGCCTGGCAATTAAGCAGCTTCAGCCAGTCTTGATCCCAGTTAAGATTTAATGATTAAGAATGAATAATGTGCTTTTTAAGAGGCCTCATGTCATTTGAGACATAAAGTACCTATTTTATTGTCTCAAAACCCTCAGGGAATACAGTGGATATCTGGGATTGTGCTGCTACTGGATGGAAGACATGCTGCTCATCTCTTGATAACTTGTTTAAAATGTGATAGTCATTGCTCACTGTAAACAATGGCTGTTCCAGTTGATATGGGACTCGTGGATGATATGAAGAAACTTGGAAGCTGCAGCCAAGACCCTCAAAATCCCCCACTCACAGCCACTGCATATTTTGAACTATGGGGACCTGTGGCCCAAAATAAACCCACTGCAATGAGAAGCTGATGGAACCCCTCAGATATCATCATAGTCTCCTCTGGAGTATGAGAGCAACACTTACCTTAAGGAGTCTGGAGGGGCTAACCTCTCCTTGTTCTTCGGTTATCATCTCTTGGGAATCTTCTCTGGTCTCTGTTCCCACTCTGTCAGCCGAGTGAGATGTCCCTACAAGGAGATGCTCGCAGCAGCCTGTTTCCTCCATCACAGACCTTCCTACATTGTGTGGTAAGTACCTATGGCTTATAGGCTTATCTGGGCAGAGGCAGTTTCTTCTTTGTCACTGTTTTCAGGGTATTTCAAGCCCTCAGTGATAATCTGCTAAGTGCCTTGTTATTTAAACAATCCTTGTCTAGAAGGAGAGAGCTTGGGCCAGTGGGAGCTGGGAGGCCTTTGTTCACATACTTGCTCATTTTTCACCCCACAGATGCAGGTAATATTTAGGAAAGTGTGGGTGTTTAAAAATAGGCCTGACCCTAACATTTTCAAGATCCAGGGCAAGAATACAAATGGAGGCCTACATACCATGTGTCTTGGTATTTAAATGTAAAAATCATGCTAATAAACTGTAAAATAAAATACCATCTACCTTTCTATCTTGGTAAACATACCTTTATATTGCGGAAGGCCAGAACTGGGTTGGGAGTTCTCAGAATCCTTGGAGTTCTGTTCTGGATGTGGTCACATGGCAGAGCCATTCCAGTGCCTGGCCCCCTCCCTTTCACCCCTTGCTCTACTGGGCATTGTGAGGTGACACATTTGCGCACATGTGGAAACCCCAACTCAAACATCTAGCTTTACCCATCTCTTCCCCAACCCTCACAAACAGCCTCCTCTTTACCACACCTTGGGCCTAGGGGCGTACACATCAAACCCAGAGACAAGGCCCACAGAGGCCCTGGAAGCAGGCGCAGAGCCATTTAGGCAGGTGATTGTGGGGTCCCCAGTACACAGAGCATGTTCTAGAAGAAAGGAATCATGACCCAAGTGGGCACGTATCCCTGTCTTCAGGGACCCCTTGGTCAGTGCAGAAGAGCATGACCAGAAGAGGGCCCTCTTGTGCAAGCCAGGGACCTGCCTGTTACTGGGTCTAGTCCTGAGAAGACATCAGATGAGGAGCGTGAATGAGGGGCAGGGAGTTCCTCATTCACG